CACCACTATTACTTACATTCATCAGAGCTGTTTCCAGAACGTCGTCGATGGCAAAGTTGGAGAGGAATGGTGAGATTGGGCAACCCTGTGTCACCCCACTGCTTGAATGGAACAATGGAGAAAGGTGGTTTTATGCCCTCACTCTACCTGAGGTGTTTGTATATAGGGCTTTTAGGATGTTAATAAACTTCTCAGGCATACCCTTCTTCAATAGACAATCCCAGAGAACAGCCCTGTCCAACGAATCGAAGGCAGCCCTGATGTCAAGAAACACTACGATTGTTGGCCTTTGATAAGTATGGCGGTGTTCTAACATTTGGCGGAGGGTGAAGATATGATCAATACATCCTCGACCAGAACGAAACCCAGCCTGCTCCTCGCGAGTCAATCTTTCTCGGGTTTTGAACAACCTAAGAAGTATGACGGAAGCCAATAGCTTGGATGCAATCGGAAGTAGACTTATCCCCCGATAGTTGTTACAGGAACGAAGTGAATCCTTTTTAAAGATAGGGACAACTATCGAATCATTCCATGACGTTGGTACACTCTCTAGTTCCCAAACCTTTGTAAACAACGTCGTCAATTCCTTAGTCAAAAAGTCACCACCATCTTTAAAAAGAGCCGGAGGTAAGTCATCTGGGCCAGGTGATTTGTAACGCTTCAAGAGTTGGAGTTCCTTGCGGACTTCCTCCTCGTTTGGTGGATCAGTCGTCACCGGTCATGGAGGCCAGGACATTCTGACCGATGTTGCCGGAGCAGCAGGCCAGTCGAACTGCCCTTCGAAAAATTCTGTCCATCGTCTAAGACGTTGATGGATGTTAGTGATTGGCATCCCATCATCCTCGCAGATTATTTCACTCACACCAGACTTCTTGCTGCCAGTGGCTCGGATGAGCTGGAAGAGCTTCCGGTAATTACCAGCTGCTGCTCCCAGCTCATTAGCACGCTTCGACCACCAGGCTTCTCGGTCCTTACGCAAGCTTTGTCCGATTTCCTTACGTAACATCTTCGTTTATGGTCAAACTCACGGTCACCCGGAGTAGACCGACGGGCTTCAATGAGTTGTAAGGAACCAGAAGAAACCTAGTGCTTAAAAGCGGGACGTTTCGCGAACCCACAACTGACTGTACCCGCCATTTTCATGGCGTCATGCAATTGCAACCAATGCTCATCTATACTTTTCGGTGGAGTGGTAGCTAGCCTAGAGGCTAGTTCGGTTCGATACTTACTAGCAACAGAAGTTGCAACCAGCTTGCTAATATCAATCCGTTGATGGCGGTCACTTCGTTGTCCACTGAAAAGTAGGGCAAGATTGGCACAGACCAAGGCATGATCAGAGTCCAGATAAGTACTCCAAAAGGAGCGACAGTCCTGTACACAACTACACCAGCGGTAGCTGATCGCGATATGATCAATCTGAGTCCAGGCTTGAGATGCAGAAGGCGGACGCCAGGTGGCACATCGGCGATGACTGCGCCGGGAGTTAGTGCTGGCCAGAAACAGGTTGTGGTCTGTGCAAAGTTGCAGTAGACGGTCCCCGTTATCTGTTCTGCGACCAACAAGTCCCCATCGGCCACCTAAACGACTCTCTTCTGTGCCTAGACGCCCGATCTGAGCATTCAAGCCTCCGGCTAGTACCACAATATCTGTCGAACGCACTTTCTGGAGAATAACAGATAACTGGTGGTAAAACTCATCCTTGATTGCATCCGGGCTGCAATCTGTCGGGGCATAGGCGGAGATGACGAAAAGACATCGTTTCTCACGCTGATTTCTTCTCACCTTGATGGAACTTTCTAATCTAACAGCACATAACCAACCGACTGTTAATGGGGATCCAATCGACTAGTGCGACAACAACACCAGCAAGACCAGACGAAGATGCCACAGGGTCCCCAGATAAGCGCACGTAAAACAAGCTTTTTGAAGCGACAGATGTAGAGCGAATTTGTAGCACTTCACCAGAGTCTTGAATACGGGTCTCGGATAGACAGCAGACATCGATATGAAGACTTTCCAAAGACATAGTCAGCCCTATCTGTTGACCAACCTGCATAAGTGTGCGAACGTTGAAGGCAGCCAGTTTGAATGGTGCACGTGGTTTCAGAAAAACTGCTTCAGTACTCATATTCGGTGGTAACATACAATTTTCAACCGGACAGTGACTCGAGAACGTTTAGATACAGTCGAATTTCCACCAAAGACGAGCCGCTGTATAAGTATAAAAGAGGGTGAATAATGTGGATAGTAATAATAATCATAATAATAATAATAATAATAATAATGACAATAATAGTAGTGATAGCAATAATAGTATTAATAATGACAATAATTGTAATGATAATAATTTGAATCAACTGCTTGTTTTTCGAAGCGAGAAAAGTAATTTCCATAGGCATAGAGAGTTCATCAATTTGTGTGTGGGCTGTGATACTGCCCGGGTGCCTAAACCGAAGCAGGTGGTTATCTTAGGGGGCCACTCCCCGAGCCTTTGACCTAAAGGTCTAACCCACAAGGCAGTGGAGCATCGTAAGGAGATGCAATCCCATGGTAGCCGATGACCAACGATTGGTTCGTACGCCATTTGTTCCCGCAGGATACAGGAGCCCATGTGCACCATTGATTTGTGATCCGGTTAAAGCGCCGGACATTCGCTTTTCGTCCTCTCATGTTCGTAAACAACACCCCCGCCACGAGAAGGCAATGAACAGGACTTCCCTGGCAGGAACTATATACGCGTGGCCATGTGAGAGCATTTCGAGAGGGAGAGCAGACTCTCCCCACTCTCGGCCGTATCAGGACATTTGTCTTATAGAAAGCTCTAATTTCATACGTCTTTAATACCAATATTTCATATTAAAAATGCATACATTTTTGGTTCCCATATTCTAAAGTACAAATTTATACAGTGACAGGTTATAAAGATTCACGTTGACCAAGAATAACTTGACACTGAAATTCAGATCTATTGTGATTTTGATTGTACTAAAAATATTCTGCATTGACTCCTTTGTACTATTTTTGAACTTGTAAGAATTTAATTCGGTTATTTATTGACTCTGAAGAAGTGGCTCACATTTAGTCACGAAACGTCAGGACTAAAACGTTTTAATCATTGGGATATAACAAAAATCTATCCTTTTTTGGACATTAACAATTACAGAACAAATTGAAACATCTGAAACTCGTCAAAAGTTAGGATAATTAGAATCCTAAAGCGAACTTAGGATATACCTCATTAGTGAATATTAGTTTTCTACATCTTTGAGGTCTGTAAGACGCTATTTTTTCATTATAAAAAACCTACCTTAAACCTTACCCTATCCAAGTGTATATTTATTACAATGGTACATCATCGTTTACAGATACTTAGTGTATAAAATCGAATTCTTTTTTAAAGAGGATTTTCAAAAAAACATTTATCTGCCCAACATATTTTTTGTTTGTTTCTATGATTGATGTTATTTACCCATCAGCATTAAACTATTCAGTTTATATTTTTTTCATTAATGTTTTGCAGAAAGTTGTTTAGATTTATTTAACTCATTGAGTAAATCAATATTCCTTCATTATATGTCTGTATGAACATATTATAGCAAACAATTTAAAAGCCTATAAATGTAAACAATTTAATGAACTCAATGTATTGATAACGATATAAAGAAAGTTCATGTAATATAGTTGCTGTTTACTTGAGACAATAAAACATGATGGTCGCATTTCTGTTTATTTCATTTAGTTGAATAGAAGAATTTAACCAACAACTGGCAGTTGTTTTTCTTATTAGAATCATTGATCAGGGAAAAAAGAAAATCAACAAATCGGACTTGGTCGATACAAAAATAAAATTATTTATGATGAGAACAAGATTTACGAATTGAGACTACTATTCACAGTCAGTTATATGTAAAATTTAACTTGGGAAATATTTGCATCTGTTCATGCTGCAATACCACATCACGTTAGAGGAGCAAGATACTACGGCAATATCAGTACAAACAGTATAGGAGGTATGAGGGAACATCAAGTATAGAAAATATGATTCTAGTAGAAATTATGTTCTTGGAAAAGATCTACCTTAATTTACTAATCGTTAGTTATACCTACTTAAATTGCTCTATTCAACAATTATTGACTTTATAGATTATTGCCACAAGCTGATTCGATCACTCAGAACTTTCGTGCTTCTTACTCTTACATCAGCTCTCACAGCGACCGATATGTTCGATTGTTGAGTATACGTAGAAAATTTCCCGAGGACTACAGTCGATGAACATCCACATTCATTTTTACCCAGTCACCTGCTTTCACTTTACCAATACTCACTTGAAGATCTTACTATATCTCAGAAAAAGCTTCTAAAGCATCTGTCATCAAATAGTTGTGACATAAAAAATTATAAGGACTACATTATACAGCCATAAAACAAAATGGTACGAGCTGGTTGGTGAATGAACCTCCAACCTATTCACGTTGCTATTTAAATAACATTTCTTGAAAGATGACAATTGGAGATAACGAAATATAATTTGTTGAGAAAAAGAGAGAAGTGATGAAAGATTTACGCAAATGTTCATAAATTAAGAAAATGCTATAAATCCGTTCGATGAAATTCACGAAATGAATGTAACGAAAATTTGTAATTGTACTATACACTAACTAATGAATGTGAAATGAAGTTATAATAAATTCGCACTAAATGCATTCAAGTAACATGCATAAGCTGAGAGGTTTTCTACTTTATCTTACAAATTTAGAGACTGTCTAATAAATGTTGTTATATTTTTGTACAAACAGTATTTCACTAGCGTTTGGATTTTTTTTCAAGTATTTATTTTAGTGTTGTATAGCATCGACCAGCACAGTATATATACACACATAGAACTAGTGAACTGTTGAAAAGATTACACAAAATATTTATACAGAAATCAAAAAACAAGTCGAAGAATAATATTATTTGGAAGTTAAATATTTTTTTTAAAAATTATTCGCCAACTTACCATATTACTGTGTAAATAACTTAAAGTATTTGCAATCACATAAGTGATATTACTAGCTTCACGTTCAGAAAGAAATTTTTCTCGGAAAATTTTATCCAATAATTCACCACCTTTTAAATATTCCATAACAAGATAAACTAAATTCTCATTTTCATAAACCTAATTGAAAGAAAAACAAATGAAAGAAAAACAATAAATATATGGTTCTAATGTTTTTGAAGGCTAGTGATACAATTAGATTGTTGGAACAAGCAATACAGAAAACGAAATAGAGTATGAACTCTGTGCTGAGAATTCTATATTGTACCAAAATTATAATATTGGATAAAGCTATTAATAATAATAATTAATAATAATAAACTCGGGTGATTTAAAATAATACTGTTTAATTAATATAACAACGCTTTACTATAAATAAAACTTGAAAATATCAATATTAAGATATATTTCAACTAGCAGAGTTTTCTAAGTAGATATGAATTACCCTTATCCCTTTTTGATGCTAACGTTACTCATTTACTAAGGATAAATTCAACTTTCAGCCACAATTTAAGTGTAAGAGCTAGTGATATTACCAATTTGTTCAAAGTTAAGGAGGCGAAGCAGAACGAGAACATGCGATCTAGTTGTTGAAAGTTAAACTGTTTGTTTCCTAAGCCAGCACATAAAATGATCCTTGATTCCAACTGGATATCATCTTTACTTTCTAATTATTTGGTGTGTGGATAGTGAAAATAAATGTGATTGGCCATTGAGTGTGAAATAACAAATACAAACTACTGATCATTTATTTTCCATGGTTTACTTTCCTATATATTGAATTCTACTCTGAACTCACTGAATGTTGACTGTTATAGTTTTTATAGTTATAGCATTATCTGGTCTATATCCTAGACCTCTACACTTGGTTGTGAATATTGCATCTGTCTAACCTATCGTGCGGTCTATGAACAGAGAATCAATCTATCCTAATTAGTAAAAAATTTGGTGGTAGTATCATCTCGATTGCCCGTTGTATTACCGTATTATAGAAGCATTACAGGAAAAAACAGAAATTTTTTTATTCCCCCATTGTATCAGTTTTGCTGTACTAGGAAAAGAGAAAACAACTTACAAAAAAACGTGATTCATAAATCTAGAGGTATTTGTACAGTTTATATAAATTTAGGAAGTTTAAAAGAGGTAAACATGGTTGATTTGAATAAGTGGAAAGTTACAAGTTAAGAATGAAAGGTAGGCAGTAATGGTATTAAGAAAAAAATACCACTATCGAAATTGAAGAATGAATTAAGAATTAATTGGCTAAGTTTAGACTGTAAACAAATTGTTTTTGTGTACACAAATGAAGCTTAATATCCTTTAGCGAAAACTGTTGTAAACATAAATTCTAAAAACTATGAAGTGAGATAATGAGAATGATTTGTTGCTCACGAGAAAAAGCTTTGAAAATAAACAAGTTAGCCTGAAGCTGTCAAATCTGGATAGCTACTAACACACTAACCAAGTATCACATACATCATTCCTAAACGATTACGTGTTGTATTGTTGATATCCAAAGAAGAATTTCAAAGCGTTAGCTATCAGATTCTAGTCTCAGTAAGTATACTAACGTTAGAAGTCTGACAAATGCAACTGATGAGTTTTAAATAAAGTGAAAAATTGGTCCAGGATATCACTCTTAATCATGATATAAAAATGTAAATCGAAAATACTTGTTAATGCTGAGAATATCGAGGGTTTTGTTCAAAGTGTACATACATTAACAAATTTAAAATTTCAATCTGAGATATCAATAATGACCAAATATAAACCCTTATGAATAATAAATTACTGTTTATGTTTAAAATGGTACTTTTATTCATCTTTAAATAAATTTGTATATAACAAAGAAGGTCAACTGTAAAATGTCTAATGATGGTTGTCAAACGAAAGAATTTTTTTCTGAACAAGTTATAAGTGAGATTTAATTCATAACTATTAATCTTTAATTCTGTTATACTTCAATATACAATTTCATAAGAATAATTATTCTTAAAACTATTATTTATTATTAATTTTTTTATGAATATATAGTAAATATTTATTACCACATTTCTTGTAGACAATAATACTGTTAATATAATTTTCAAAATAATATTTGCATTGAATGTAAAGGTGTTGATCTAAACAAACTAAGGTCATTTGCATACATTAGCTAGTTCTATTCACATTAATGAATTATCAATTGAATATAGATTTATAGTTTATTTCAAATCAATTAAAAAGTGAAAGAGTTGTTCAAATTTGCCCAATTAATCTTACTTATGGTCTACTAATAGTAAATATAAAGTATGATTTAAAGTGTTTAGATACACAAATTACCAAAACACTCCATATCAAATTGAAACTTAAGAGGTTAAAGTCTTGTTTCCCACTCAAAATTAGATCATTGATTGATTTATCGGTTGATTTGTATTAATTATGCATAATGAATCTATCATTAGTAGGCAATTCAACGTGTAAATTTGTTGACAGCATACAAGATGGATTTATTTGCACTTATTTATAATTATTAAAAATGACTGATGATATTGTAGTGTATGCTATTTATGCTGTCAGATGTAAGTAGTATGTAGCCACGATCGGAAGTTGTCATGCCTGGGAGCAGAAGATTGAATTAAAGAGAACACAAAGCAAATCGGAGAGCAATTAAAATAAAAACGGAATTAGAGGAATAGTGTAGTAGATAAAGGACAACACAAAGATGTGCAAATGATGTATTTAATGTATGATTTTCATATTTTACTGAAGCACTCTGTAATTTCGCATTGAATAATAAATTGGTTTTCCCCGCTTGTGTTCTCGTTCGCCACACTATTACCATGAATATGTCTTACATATGTTTATAATTATAATTTTAATATAAATTCTGTAATCATTGTTACTTGTTTAGATATCTAACGAGAAACGTTGTATAAAGAGGTTACTTATTTTTCAAGGAAATTGTAATTGGAAGCCTATTTCTAAATCTGCTGATAGTTGTGTAACAAACAATTTATTCAAACAATAATAAAGTGTCATATACAAATGTTCCTTCTAAATCGGCTTCTATATATTTCACTACTAAAAGAGGATGTCAAATATTCTGTAATACGCACTAGTCGGTATGTATCAAGAAACCTTTTGTTGGCGAATTTAATGAGGACATTAAAATTAAACATTTCCACACAGTACCACACATACTGAACTGATTGCGTTTAGATTTTATGTTTCTGCGTTCTTAGAGCTATTACCAACTTCAAAGAATAAACATTTATTTCCTACATTAAACAATTACGATGAGTAGTCTATAGTTAAATATTTCTTAAATTTATTTTTTACTGTTATATGTGTGTAGTGGATTGGGGACGTAAAGGTTTGTTGAAACATTGACTGTTTAATTACTGATTATTTTTGTCTTTATCGAGCAATATGTTTTAGAAAAGATATTTCATTACGTAAAACATACATATCCCTGTGAATCAAAGTAATGAGAAAACAACTTCTTCTTCATAATCAATAGAAAGATAAACTTGATCTGTTTCACGTAAACTATCACTTAATTCGCCTATTATATTATCATTTTTTTAAAAAATAAAGGCAGTATATCAACACAATGAGTGGAGTTTGTAGAAATCGTTATGTTTCATCCTTTACACAACGAAATAACTTTAGACAATTATAGGAAACAAGGAAGCATTGGTCATGGTTTAGATCTCTGCCTAAATCGTGGATATTCAAGTGTGGAAAGTACTATGCTAGAAGGAGAAAACTAATTTACGCTTTCTGGTTTCTAATGGTTGTCTAAATGAGGTCAGTTCGTGATATAAACTATTAAACATTATATATATATATATATATATATATATATATATATATAGTTAATTTATGCTTAAAATTTTCTGAAATACTTTTTATTTATTCAGGCAAATCCCGATTGGTTGGTATTTTATGTTAGGAAAATCAATTAACCAGCCATTATTAGAATACTTTATATCAATTATAATTGGACTTTCTAAACGTTATCGAAAGTAATCAAGTATAATCTATATATTTGATTAATTTTTTGTGGAAAAAATCTTTAAAAGAACGATAACACAATGAAATATGTTTTAACTGTCTTTTTTTGGCTTAGTGAGTTCTTACATTAAAATTTAATAAATATTTCTTTGTATGATAGTAAAAGAGACAAATCATACCAATAAGGTGTTTATCATTAGATTCAAAAGACATTTTTTTAATAATCAACTGAAAGTGAAATAACACTTGGTTATTTTTAATTAATCTGTCACAATGTGTTGAAAACACTTACAAGGTAAATATTCTCGTATACTCTTATTAACTTATTTATTTATCAAATTAAATGGAAATAAATTCTTTGTTTTTATATCAAATTAAAATAGATTTAAAAGATGATGAAAAGAATTTGTAGGTTACAAAAAGTATTTTTAATTCATCGCGTTATTTCTGATATTGGTTGCTATATCCGAGCGAAGATTAAATCACGAGTAATTTCTGAGACATATTAATTCACTAATATGATCTATACATTCTTATGGTATAACTATTCAATAATTAGATTATGTATATTTATATTCCCCTTATTATAAGCTTTATTTTGATCTATAATTTATTATTGTACGACTTACTGTTCTTAAGCTATGTTCAGTTTATTGACTACCACCTCTCATGTTCATAGCCACTTTTTGGCTTTATTGTGTACAAATGTTATTTCCTATTTTATGGTGCGTTGCGGTCTGTTTGATTGATATATAAACTCAGTATGTCTGAAATAAAAGATTCGATTTGCATATTGGAAGCTGGTATTGGTGTTCTGGACTCAAGTGTACGGGCTAAGCGGACATATGACCAATAAGGACGCTAGGCTGCTTATACCGGTCGAATGTCATTGGTTTGGCATAGTATTAAGATTGTATAAGTCGTATTTTAATTATTGGATAAATCACGTGATTAAAAAGCCGGACATAAAGTCACAACATTGATTTTGTAGCATTATTACCTTTACTGTTGAATAATGTTTTGGAGATTTTTACGGAGATTATTGTTGATTTGTGAATGATTATAAACCGAGGTGCACTGGACACCTGTGTTATCGAAGTATGGAATTCTTTACCAATGAGGAACCACGACTAGCACAGGGAGAGAATTCAGACATTTCAAGTCTAGTAGAAAATATTTAGCTTTCAGACAACTAATTCGCCATACAATGATTCAAATTTTTAATATATGTTTAATTAATCTTTTACTAAAACAATATGCAACTTGTCATATGTAGAACTCCTTATAATATTGTCTAATTTTAACTTTTACGCGGAATAATTAAAGACTACTTTTTTTTTCTAGTCATGTGAGTAAAGATACAAATTAAACTAAATCCTATAAGAAATGATTAGATCTAATTAAGAGTGAAATATATTTTATTTCTCAAGAAGAAATATCAGTAACACATTTATTTAATATGTGAACTCATCAATAATAGGACTTACTACTTCAGTTAAAAATAAAACTGAGCATAAATTACCAAGTGTGTAAAAAATGGGTCGTCAACAATTACAGTGAAACATGTTATTAAAAGGAACTAGAATCTGTAAAGATAGTGTATTTGTTCACTTACTGATCATTGAGTAGTGACCAATCATAAGTTTGTCCCAAGTTTCGATATAATGTTATCGATCATGGTTCAATGCAGCTACTAGTCTATAGCAGCTGACACTAAATGTACTATTTTTAAAGTAAGCTGATTGGAACTAATGGACATGAAGCGCTGTAAATTGGTCTTGCATTTCTCTTGAAACCCATAAGCATAGTGTATCTGGACTCTAAGAGGGAACTGTTATTTATTATGATATCATAGTTTACGTCACCCAGCGTCACTGTCAGATGCGTTGACATTAAGCCATTTAGACTGAAGTGAACACATTTTTAAATTATAATGTTGGACGACCCAACTTCTAGTACGAAAGTAAAAATCATTAACTTTAAAAATCCCAATATTCCACACTGACAAGTGTCAATAAACGTAAAACTCAGGTCTCGCGCTTCATGTCAGTTACATCAAAATAACTTACACTAATTCACACTTATTAACCACTCTATAGAAATGGAATGTGATTTGGAATAGCTTACATTTCAGACAACGCCAGCGATGCGATAACAGCTAGTTGTAAAATGAATAAACGTACACTAAATTAACAGTTAAATTAACTGATAATCATAATAGTATTTTGGAAAATGATGAATAAATTTAACGAACTTACATCTCGAACGGAAACAATATTTGGATGATTATGGTGTCGAAGCAATATTTCAACTTCTTCACGGGCATCCCGTTTTGATTTATCAATAATCTGAATGTTTAAACAAAGTAACAGTGTGCAAATTACTAAATGGAATTTGAACAATAAGGAGAATATTTATAACACTGACATATCTATATAAACACAATACTCACTTTGAGAAGAATACCTTGTAATATTAAATATATATGGAATAAGATAGGACGTTTCTCAAGCAACGGGAGTACGCGTAACTACGATAAAACGGATCTTCAAAATCTCCTGGTTTTTTATCGAACGTCTAGTTCAAGTCAGTTTGCGATATAAACTATTCTCAAATAGAACATTATTCACAAACCCTTTATGTTATCAATACATAAGATTTTAATTTTGAAAAGGACACCAACTTAGTAATTTAAAACGTATAATCCACCGAGTCAGTTTCCTTATTCATAATCGATTTATTTGTTAATGTTGTATTCTCATAGATAAATTATTAACATGTGAAAAGCTTACACAATGTAAACTATAGATTATTCTAGGAATACATCCTCAATGTTTAGTCCTGATCGTTACAAAATATTACATTTATTTTTTTACTATTCATCTTTTAACTTATATAATGTATTACGGCAAATTTGGACAATGCATATGTGTATCAGGCAGAATGTTGATCTGTTCTAAAGTTAAAGTGGAACTTTTAAAAAAACCAACATTCTAAACCATTGATAACATTCATAAGCTACAAAATATGCCATTTTCACAACTTTACACTATCTATTTGACCTTATGCTTAATAAACCGGCACATATTTTTTGAGCACCAAATTGACAAAATTACAACTATAAAAAAATATAACAATTGGAACACTTGCTGTTCCTTTCATCATCATTATCCACTTCCTTTTTAATCATTTCTGATATATATAAGTACAAAACAGCATGATAACGTGTTTCGCATATTTATACCTAAACAAAAGTACACATAAATTATATACTTCTAAATTAATAATTCTAGAAGAATATGATGCATGATATTTTTTTGTATATAAATACATTTTCTAAGAATACCATTTACAATATTAAATTTATGAAAAGTTAATTCAACAAAGTGAACTGTTGAAATGGAATGAAGAATAAGTTGGAGAAAATATTAATATATAGAAAGCGTAAAATTCCTAGGAAACACTTTAACGTTAAAATAAAAATATCATATTTACATAATTAAACCTGAAATCTAAAGTTCATCTATTATTTTAAAAATGTATCAATAATTTTACTTACAATTTATGGATGAAACAAACGATACTTGATCTAAATAAAATTTTAATAGTTGAAGTTATGAGTCGATCTAAGCTAGACCACCATTGAAAACTTGGAAGCACTAGACGGCTGTTTCATTCTAGTATGGGATTCCTCAGTAGTGCGCATCAACCATTCTGATTGAAGTTAGACATTAACAACGTTGGATGCAGGCTCAGTGGTCTAGAGGTTAAGCGTTCGCAAGAAAGACCGAAGATTCTGGGTTTGAGTACTGTCTGCCGGATTGTGGATGCGCACTGCTGAGGAGTCCCATACTAGAAAGAAACATCTGTTCAGTGTTTCCAGGTTTTCAATGGTGGTCTAGCTTAGATGGACTCACGAATTCAACTATTAAAAGTACTATAACCTTCACAAATCCCCATTCTTATACTAAAATTGTACAGCCAAAAAATTGGTTAAACACTTTTTTTACAGCTGAGTTAAAAAAAATCAGAAAAGTGGTGGGGGAATACAACCAACGTTTCTAAATGAAATACATACAAAGTAAAACTGACTTTTGTTGAAATTTGTTGAAAATTGAAAACACAAGGCAAGATAATGCGTAATAGTTGCGGAAAAACAAGTTAATATCAAATATACCGAATTAATAACTAACAATCTGAGAACATATGTATGAATCGTTAACATAGAATATAAGAAACAAACAAAGATCTTTGACAGACGGACACAAATAATTTAAACGACTTGTTACAAAGCTGTAACAACTAAAGGAATTATATGAAAAATTGTCAATTTACTCCAACGAACGTTATTCATGTGAAAAATACTAATATAAAGTTATAAACGTTTTGGCTACTAGTTTGATATTGGCGCTGAGTATGTAGTGACAGGCTTTTTGACAAAATTAATGTGATATATTGCTTGACTTATTTTCAAGCTTTAAACAATTGTAATTAAGTATTTTAGATAACTTTCGCTTAGTTTTCAACCTTAAAAGTCATTACTTCACTAAAAAAATTATTTCTTCGATGAGTGGCGTTACGTAACCTTTCCACTGTTATCATTGACTCACAAACCTCTTTGATTGGTTGAATAATTTCACCAATGCATATAAATACTATTGTATAATTAAAGACTAGAGTATCTAACTGAAAACAATATTGTTCGAATTCACAATATGGAAGTTTTTAAAATTATTTAATTTGTTTAGTATTTACACCATTAAGTAATAGTAAACAATGTGAAAGAAATGTAATTATACCTAATATCGTATAAATAATCCAACGAAACGATACTTTTAGAAAAGATACTGATAAAATTCATACAAAGAAAAAGCTGTCAGCAGAAATTGTTCAAAAGGTCATAGTAATTAATATATTTGTATTACACACACACAACATATCTATTTATATTAAATACACATTTGATTTGTGTCATGCTTACATTGTCCCTACTAACATACATTGAGTAGTTGAATCAGACTGATTTTTTGACAATCAGTAAATCTCTTTCAATGCCCCCTTATTTTGATAGTATGTAAATAAAAATCTGACAGATAGACAACTATTGTAAACCTAAAAGCATTAAGAGGTCGCTTCCACTTAACATGAGGCTTCTCATCAGTATTATATAACACTGGATTACATTATAAGCTTGGCATAAATGAATATTTTGCTATCAATTTGAAGCAGTGGATTTCATGTCAATCGAAGAACAAATACTGACAAAATTGGCAACTGGTGAAGTTAAAGTCACTAAATCTAAACTTCTGTATGTTATTGACAATGGACACAATAATGAAGACAATTTCTCAGTTAGATATCAAGTGCATATCACTTTGGTAAAGTAGTGCAATATAACACCATCTCGGTATAGCAGAAGCGATCAGCATCATCTTAATGTAATTTAGCCTAATTATATAAAAGTGATAGACATAACTATTTTATTTGCCTTCAACGTCATTAAAAGTCAAATTTTATCAGTGCAATCTAATAGGATTAACCTCTCTTCTTATATTGAATGATATTAATGATTATTGTTATTTATATCATTATGATTATTATCATGATAACCGCGATAAAATTCTTATTTTCTGATGAACATTTTACATATGAATCCTGTCTATCAATCGGTTCACGGTATAGTATTATTTTTCACTTTTTATTACGTGACCCTTTTAGCTTTAGCAAATACACATGTTATGAGTATTTAAGATAGTGCCACCATCAATATATATATATATATATATATATATATATATATATATATATATGTATTTATACCTAGGTACATAAATATTCTTTTCATTTTGAATTATAGTACATAAACTAACAAAAAATATTAACAAACATGCTATTTCGATTGTGATATTTATATCTGGCATTCATCAAAATGTACATCTGATAAAAAAATAGTAATCGTAAAATAATAAAAAATAGAAAGAAGATACAAGCAAATTCATGACAGTCATGTTTTGATTTTAGTGATGTTGATCATGATGAACTGTGTGAATTGAGAAATTAAAAACATACATATAAGAAAGACAAGATGTTAAATACACAAGCAATAAAAACATGAAACTATTTAAATGAAAAAACAACTACTATATGATTTAGGAATTATGCAATCGATTGCACTGAACTCATATGATCAAAACATGCTGACTTGGCGACAACTTCACGAAATGACCGAGTTATTGCTACAAAACCTATGAATAACCAAATGTCGAATGAATAGAGTTCAGCGATGAAAATCTTTCCTCAATGACGTCATTTACTGAAACTGAACAATCGTATTCAGAATGAATACACATGAAGTAGTGTATAAGAAAATATGAAATTATTCAGTCAATAACAAAGATATCATAAACTAAATAAAGGTACCAATTGTCAAAAAAGTTATGCAACAGTAAAAAATTAATACGAATGGAAGTACAAATGACATGACAGAACAAGTGGAAAGTATACGTCATACAAAAAAAAACATAATTAAAATGCATTGAAAGATTTAATGACTGTAGGTTATTCACTAGCATATAAATGAATGTAAGACCTGAATCTCATGGAGTTTGTCCGTCATATCAAACTTAGAAACGACTCATAAAAATGAAAGTGAAAATTTTCATTGAAATACATGCATTATTTGTTTTATTATGATAAGAAAAAGTAATCCAGAATTCGATAAGCTTAAGCAAATAGTTTCGGAAAAAAACAACCAGTAAATAACGATTGAAAGTAATATACAGAAGTTTGTAAAGGTGGTAGAATTTTCATAGTTTCGAATCCAGTTGCTCACAATAGCTAATTATCGATGTAAGTATTATTACTAAGGTTCTAACTGATTGTTACAAAGAAACTGAGCATTAGGTAGTTTGAACTTGTGTTAATTTATTTCAGTTATTGAAATACTCTGTGAACATGTAACTTGAAACCAAGCCGCAAAACATTAGAAGTCGCAATGTATATTCATTAAAATAACACAAATATGTCATTATTTCACTATTAATTTGAAAAATACCAACAAATCTGATTTACTATAGACAATATAATCATAGTGAAACCTTAGTTACAAATAAATAGAAATGAATTATAGTTTAATGTTTCAACTCATTGAATACAATTCTACATATTTAAAGCCAATAAGTCCCATGACATAAGGCAATGACAAGAATATATTGTTTGTTTGGGAAACAATGAATATAATGCGAATACTTTTGTCTTAAAATATCAAATATAGTGTGAGCATATATAAAAACAATCATAATTTTCCAATTACAATACTTGATATATATAATTTGAAGTATTTATCAAG